GCTTTTTTGTTCCTTTCGGTGGTATGACGTTCTGAAATACCCATACGTAGTCCTCCACTGAGTAAGCTTTTGCAACAGCTGCTTTCTTATTGGATCTTTTCATCTGCCTTGCCTGTGCCTGCTGAGTGTTCCGTCTACACAAGTCGTTTAACTCTTGTTGACGTCATAATCACATCCCTTACATAGACTTGTGGTGATGTTTTCTTCCCCTCATACTCCGGGTAAAAGAAAGTCAAGGGCAAAGACTTCTTGTGTCCAGTTAGCATCATGTGTGGACTAACTTCGGTGGTGGAGTGTTGCGTGCTATTGTAAGCTCCCATCACCTGTGGAAAATATCTGTCCCAATCGGTCATGTACCTGGAACAATATACACTCAGCATCGACACTAACGTTCTGTTTTGCCTTTCCACTAAGCCATTCGTCTGGGGATGGTATGTCGTCGAGTGGGCCTGAGCCACCTGCGAACGTCGCATGAGCTCTTTCGTAAGTTCTCCCACGAACGCTGTTTCGTTATCCAATTGGAACGTCATCGGACAACCATTTCTCGCTATCGACGTGCTGATTAGGTGATCGCAAGTCTCTTCTGCTGAGGCAGTTATGCGGGGCACGGCCTCTGCATTGTTCGTAAAGTGATCTATCATGACTAAGACTTGGTTATAACCACTGTCTGTCATGCATATCTTGTGGTGATCAATCTGTACCACCTCGTTAAATTCAGATGACTGGATCGACTGCAAGGGAAAACGCAACTTCCTTGGATCCTTGACCTGTTGGCATGACAGACATGCTGTTACCCACTTCTCACATGCCTTTTTCATTCCAAGCCACTCAAAGCGTTTTAGAATCCTCTGGTATACTATGTCGATTCCCGGATGGCCCATCTGATCAGTGGACCTGAATAAAAGTTGTGTTTGATAGAGTTGCGGCAACACTATTGCATTGTATTTGTACAGGACTTTGTCCTCTTCTCTTCTCTTGCAAGCCACGATCCCGTCCTTGTTCAGATATTACCTTCCCTCTTTCTGCATAAAGAACTGTCTCAGATTGCGATAACTGTCTTCCTCCAGATCGCTTTTGTCCGGAGCTCCATTTTCGATCCACCGTTTCGGGTTGCTCGTCATGCGGTCATTTCTCTGTGCTCGTAGTAAGTCCGAGAGTCTGTATCTCGCCTTGCAGTACGTCTTCATGACCCTCATCTGACGATTCATTTCATCTGACTGATGCATGTCATCTTCCATCTGAACGCACCAAATCTTCGCCAATGGTCGTGTTTCTTGTTTGAACGGTTGGAGATCAGTCCTGACTACCTCTCTTTGCGGCAACAAGCTTATCGAATGTTTCGATACTGCTATTGTTTCCATATCATCTGCTGCGTTGTCAAAGACTCTTTCTTCCGGTACGAGGTCGATTAGTGTCAGGGTCTTGATATACCTCCCTATCTAGTTCCCTTGCTCGAGTTTCCACTAATAGTGTGTGGATCGCTAGCTCGGACATGTCTGAGCCTGAGCTCAAGTTCCGGTCTGAATAGGTGTCGAGTCTTGAATTTCGGGAATTGTCATCCATTGAAGAGTCTGCGATAGAGCACGTCCCCTCCTCCGGATCAGTTCTGTGCGTTCTTCGCATCCATCTGAACTCCCCGGACAAAGCTTTATTCTCCAGGTCCTGTTTCTCATCAGGAACTTTTTCATCTACATCAGACTCCCCGGACAAACTTCCTTGTCCCAGGTGTTGATCTTGAACTCGCCAGCTCTTCTCACTGTTCGTCTCCCCGGACAAACAATCCTGCAACAGGTTTCGTTCAACCCTCTCGCCTTCCTTATCCTGGTCCTCAAAGGTAACGGTTTTCTTTTGCGTATCGTTCCCCTGTTCTTTACAACTGTATGAAGTACTGGTTAAAACATCGTGGGGTTTTGAGGATACTAGCTGCTGAACTATTGTCCTACAATCCTTCTCGTTTTCTTTGTGTTGTCGTCTTGACGGCCTGATCTTCACCTTCTCACTGGTTGTCAGTGATGCCATAGCTGCTGCCATCTCGGGGTCATCTCTGGTCAATTCTGTCTCTAACAATCCACCCAGCATCCGCATCACCTGGGGTGGGGCTGCACCGTTTTATCCAATAATGAGAGGCTGTTAATGTTCATGCGAGAGAGTTCCTGCTGGACCAGGTTCGAGCGCAGCAAGGGCGCCGGGCCCTTCTTGGGTAGAATCTTTATCTCGGCTGCTTTCTCTACAGGTAACTCAGGATGTCCTGGGATTGGATGTCCAGACTTATCAAACCATCTCGTCAATGGAAGAGCTTCCTCAGTTTCTTTGTCCAGAAACGAAAATCCTTCCTTGATTTCTGCCTGATTGGCTTGCTTCTGATCCGATCTTTCATAGAAATCGGTTTTCCTGCTGAGGCTGTCAGAATTCTGGTGTTTGTCACGCATCCTGTGCTCGATTATCATATGGTAGCCATCTGACCTCACTATCCATCTACCAAAATAAATCTGATCCATCGAGTATGTCTTCAACCAGGATAACGCTCTGTTGTCCACGCGTAACTTAAAGGGAGCGCTCCCCAAGTATTCGGGGTACTTTTCCACGAATGTGACTACTGCAAACATTTCTGCTTTCGGTGCACCATATTTCATCACAATGTCACTTAACACCTTAATGCCATATGCAATGGGACGGAGAACTGTTCTTCCATTTCATTCCTGCTCCCGATGCAGTATTCCTGAGATGGCTACTACTGATGCGTCTGTATCAAGAACATACCTGCCCTTTTTTGTAGGCATGCCTAGCACTGGCGCTTCGCACAGTTCCCGCTTTATGTTCTCGAAGGCAGTTTGTGCTTCTTCGTTCCATTCGAACTTCTTTCCTCTGTTGCGCATCAGCTTCTGCATGGGATACACCTTGTCTGCATACCCTTTTATGAACTCACGGTAATAATTGGCAAACCCTAGGAAGCTCATGAGTTGTGTGTCCGTTCTGGGAGCCTTCCATGTCAGCACAGCCTCTACTGCTTCCGGGTCCGGCCTCACACCATGCCTGTCCACCATTCTTCCTAGATACTTGATTGAATCCCTCAGGATCTCGCATTTCGATGGTTTGCATTGCCAAACTGCTCTCTTCATGCAGTCAAAGACCTCTTCGAGCCGATGTGGTCTTCCAGGGTGGGTTTTGCTATGACCACGTCATCCACGTAACACATCACAAAGTTCCAGTCTTTTTCGTCACTCCGGTCAAAGCGTAAGCCATCAGTCTTTGAAAAGTGGCCGTTGCGTTGCACAAGCCGAAGGGCATCTTCTTCCACTGGTACAACCCCAAATCACATGCGAACCGGTCTTTTCTCTCTTTCCTTCTTCCGCAGAGGAACCTGAGGAACCTTCCGCAGAGGAACCTAGTCGGAGATTCGTCGGACTTAGGTCTTCCCTCGTGAAGCCCATTCTTTCTCAAGTTTTTTATCTGCATCACGCTCACTATCGCTTCTGTGTCCAGAAGCCCTGTGAATCCGATTTTCTTTCCATTGGTGTCGAGCAGCTGTGCAGTCACATCTGCTTCTCATCCAATGTGAACCGCGTCTTGTTTCATCATGGCGCCATGACCTATCCTACGGACTTTAAGTTCTCCTTCACCCATATAGGTTTGCCCCATTCGGTCACTGTCCGTCGTCACGTGGGTCCTGGTGTAGATACTGATTCCATCCACGTTCAGCGTCACTTGATCCACGTTCCATAGACTTCCACGTAGCGCCCGTGAAGTTTCTTTATTCGAGGGCCACCCGTTGTCAGTAGCGCTGGCACAGCTCTTGACTCAGTGCGTGGCTCCACCTGTCTCAGATAATCTGCATATGTATCCAAAAGCATCAGAGTGAATTCTGATGGTTCACTCAGATTTCTGATTACCTGGTGTCCCGCTACCGAGATTACTGATTGTATTTTACTTCCCTGTGGCACCAAACCAAACGTCTTCCCGGAGATCACATTTAGTTTCATGATCAATTTGCTTGGTGTTTTCGTTTCTTCGACTTCTGATGCCTCGAAGGCGTTCAGCCTTTCCTGTAATTTCTCATTTTTCAATTCGAGCATCTTTTTTTGTTCGATCTCCTTCGTAACCAATTCCTGCTGGACTCTGTTTAGAGCATCCCTGGCGGCTGCCCTATAGTCGATCTTGAAGTCATACGTCGCAGTTACCGGTTCCGCTTCACATCTCTCTTCCATTACCGCCTGCATCTTCTTCGTTGCCAGTTCCTGTGGTTTCTCTTTTCTGCGCGCCTCCGCTTCACTCAACAGGCGAGCCTTGCTGGCTTTCACTCCCGATACAGCTTCCTCATGCCTTGGATGCTTGATGTCTGCCACAGCATCCCAGAATTATGGACAATCCGATTTAAAATGACCTTCCAACTTATAAAAGAAACACCTTGGGTCAATTTTCGCAATTACTCCTCTCATGAAATCTTCATGATCGACCTCTGACGCATCTTCATCCTCAAGGCTAAAGCCTTTTGCTTTCATGCCCTGTTTGTATGTTAGGCATGCTGACACATGATGGTCCGTCGAACTGCAATTTGCACAAGACCGTCTCTTGTCCATGTCGTCCCTTGGTTTGTACCAGTTGTTTCCTTGGTTTCCTGGTCCATTGTTGAAATTGTCATAGTTGTTTTTGTAATATCCAGATCTCGATGGAGGCTTCAGCAAAATATTTTCTTTTGACTTGAGTCTCAACTCCTCTGGTATTGGCGCAATGGTTGAGAATGATGTTTAATGTGTCGCTAACATTGTTCGCAGTTCATGATTCTTCGCACCATCGATGAATTTTGAGGCTACTGTCAGGTTCATCCTTCTATTTGACTCATCTGGCTGGCTACGCCTTCTCAGCATCTCCAAATCGTCTAGAAACTTGTCTATTGTCTCATCTTCTCGTTGCCTCCGTTTCTCAAAGCGCATCATTCCCTGCACCCCTGAGCTAAAACGATTTCATTTAACAAGATTTCAAAGTTTTTCTCCAGTGCCCCATTAGTATTGCTTTTTTGGCATCACGCTGTTTAGGGCTGTCCCTTCCAAGTTACTGGTGAGAGCACTGCATTCTTGTCTTTCTGTCAAGTCCTCTTCCTCGCAATGCAGTCTCATCACCTCTATCCAGGTATCAATACAGCCATCAGATTCGTCTTTATAGCATCTTGGTTTCTTAAAGACTCTTCTGGACTTTTCACTACGTTCATTGGTCCTCGACAGCCTGGTAAGAAATGTTTCCAAGGTCCTGTTCAGAGGTTCAAAGGCTGTGGCCATCGATGCAGCGTCTTTTGAATGCCCCGCCTGAGTATCTTTGCCCCCTGATAAGGGCTCCAGATTTTCCCTCCTGTCCGACTCGCTGGGATTATTTCTTCCTTGGCTCGCATGACTCCTGTTCCTGGAATCACATCTCCCAGTCGCATGTGTATCTTGCGTTGGTCGTTCGTTAGAGGTCTTTCTTTTGCCTTTTGAACTTCCTCCGATGTTTGGGCCCCGGGGTCTATTGTCCCTTGTGGTATAGCCTGATGAACTGCCCCTTCCTCTAGAGGGTTCATATGTCCTTCTCCTATTCTGCTGCTCGTTCAAGTTCACCCTCGGCTCCCTACTGGGTTCTCCCGATTTCGATTCCCCTCTTTTTGGTCCACTCCTGCTGCTTAGTAGCCCATCGAACCTATCCATGATAGCCTGAGTTCGCTTCTCCATCATCGCATCTATCTTCGTGTCAAGAGTCTCAAGAGTCTGCTCTTGTTGAATTCTCAACCTCTCCATGTCGTCTCTCAATCGTAACTCTCTTTGCTCAGCCTCCCCAGTCAATCGCGACAGGTTCTTCGCTAAGTGTTCATCCATTCTCTCCTTCAAGCGTTTTTCGCTTATGCTAGCTTCTTGTCTGTTGCGGTTGATCTCTTCTCGCAGACTTTCTCTCTTGACGTGGACTGCCCTTTCCAGTTCACTCATTCTTATGGACATCTGTTCATTCTGTTCTCCTATACTGCACACTATGTTGGTCAAGGCTTCTTCAATTGATGCTCCGTTTTCTACTAATGGCGTCACAAGTGGCGGTGTCACCCTGTCGATCCCAGGTAGCTTGGTGCTGGTCGAGATTCGGGCTTTGATTCTCTGCCGCGATGTCTTTTCACTATCCACCTCTGGATCCGCCGGTGCGTTGCTTAGCCTTGTGATCCTACTCTGCCCAGTTCGCATTTCCGGGTTCGTCATATTCACACAGTCTCTTGACTGGCCTGATTCTTTTATGGTATTGCTTATTGTCCTCACCACGCCAAATTGTTCCATGGTACCAGTCTCTCTATCGGCGTATGCGCCATTCTCCTGAGTCGAGCTACTGAGGCTGACTTGAGATCCGAAGTCATCTTGCCCGTCGTCGTCCTCTTCTTCTTCCTGGGTCTCTGCCTCATCGCCCGTACCCGTTCCCATAGTAAATGGAAAGAAGTTTCCTAAAGTGTTCTTCACTCTTTCTGAAAACGATGATGACGTTGCCAGTTTTTTCCGTCATGCCAAACATGTTGTCTGTGGGTGATCTTGTAGTCGCCACATTTTCAGTAGAGATATCGGACAGTTCCGACATCTCTTCTCGGTCCAAGGTCCCGGTGGAAGTGGCAAAATATTGGCCTTGTTCTACCGGTGTAGATTCACTCGTCAACCTTCTGTTTCCTCTCCCTTCCGGTCCATGTCCCTCTGATCCTCATCCAGAGCAGGGTCTAAATGGACCTCTACCTCTAACATTGCCTTTTGTCCTTCTGATGACTTTTGACTCCTGGTTTCAACCATTATGCTTGAAACTTTCTTACCTTTGTCGGTCCGGGTTTGTGTGATCCTTTCCATAAAAGGGTCAGTCATTGCGTCTCTGTTTCTCAGGTATGAATTTCCTGGAGCTGTCACCTAGTTTAGGTATCCATGACTTGTTCAAACTCATTTTCAATTTACCACTTCTTACTGGCTATACACTCAATTCGATTGCTAGTGTCTTTTTAGTCTTTCAACTGATAATAATAATAACACAACACAAAAAATTCCAAAAGTTTCACTTAAATCGTCACCAGGAATCCTTGTATGTTATCACAGTACAAAGTGTATACAATTTATTCTCAATAATCGATTATTATTTGCAAGATATGAAGCTAGCATAGTCTGATGATATCAATATATTTGAAAGATAGCGTACTCACTACCCAATCAAGCACAAATGTTATTCAATTAAAACCAAAAATGAATGAAAATGAGATTATTTTCGATGAAAAACGTATGTGTTTTGTACTTTCAGTCGCAATATGATGTTTTGTCAGTATGTGTTTTGTCAGTCGCAATATGATAGTCGAACTTGTTTTTGAAGATAGAGTTTTCCCTGTTTGGTGCTGCACCAAACAGACAAAACTTGAAGGCAGTAATTTTCTCAAGTGGGCGTCTATTGCACCCACCGAGTCCTGTGTTACATATCTGCCTTCGGATTGCCCGAGCTAGACCTGCTAAAATCCTGAGGACAATCACATTCCCAAAAACGATTTGGATTTCAATCCACACAAATCAGTAACAAATTATTTTTCAATTTAGACTTAATGTCGCGAAAATCCGAGTTTAGACTTGTCTTGTTTTGGTCTAGTCTTTTATAAAAGGCAAATTACCAGTGCAGTCACTGGTTCCTAGCCTGTCTCTTAATAACCTTTTACCTTTCACTGTTTTCTTTTCTTCTGTCTACTTAAGTCTTAACAAAATAATACCCCTCCGGATTGACAAAAATGGGACCCCTCCGGTTTGGCAAAAATGGGACCCCTCCGGATTGGCAAAAATGGGACCCCTCCGGATTGGCAAAATTAGGACCCCTCCGGATTGGCAAAAACAGTACCCCTCCGGATTGGAATAAATGGGACCCCTCCGGATTGGCAAAAATAAGAGCCCTCCGGATTGGCAAAATTGGGACCCCTCCGGATTGGCAAAAACAAGACCCCTCCGCATTGGCAAAATTGGGACCCCTCCGGATTGGGACCCCTCCGGGTTTATAAAAATAACTTTTCAGAGACTTTCAAAACGTTCTCCGATGCTATTATGCTGTTTGTACTAAATAAGAAGGGTTTATTATCTTTTCCTAGACCCTTCCGGATTGAAGCAAAGCCTCATATGTGTTAATTAACCTTAACTGTGAAGGGTCTTATTACTAGTCCAGTTTCGACTCGACTATGGTCTTCTGGTTCCCTTAGCCTTCCCTTTTCGTCTAGAACTGCGAAAAATTGCCTTATTCAACCATTGCTACCCTTTTGTAGGGGTGTGGGGGTTTTTCAAAAAAATTTTTTATATAACGTGAAGGGTCTACCTTCCCGAATTAGTGAATTTGCTAAAAACAATCTTAAAAAATTTCACTAAAATCAAAAACATTTCTCTTTTATAGGTTCAGCCATATTTTTTTCGCAATTCTGTTCTTTTCGACCTAAAAATTATTGATCCGAGCTCAAAAGGCCTATACTCTTGTAGTTCAATGCAAGAAACCCGATCTAAAACGTTCCAGCTGGAAAAATTTGCCTAAAACAATGCTATTTGGACCCCTCCGGATTGATGAATCGACTAAAACAAACACGTTAAGTTCGATTTCACTGTAACCCGGAAGGTTATCTGCAAACGGGTTTTGAAACCTGTCGATTCACTAAGGAACGTTGTCCCTCCAACAATTTTTACTGTCCTAACTCAAAAATTTCAAAAAATTTTCTTTTTTTTGTAGCGTTTCGTTTCATCAAAAATCAAGAAAATTCGGTTTTTGGTACCCAATTAGTTTCAACCACTTCCTACCTAAACTTAACCGGTTCTACCTATTATACTAGTACAGTTAAGATGTAAATCACTAAATTAGCGCTTTTTTTTGTTCCAAAAAATATCGATATCTCAAAAATCGCGATTTGTGGGGGATCAAAATATCGGTATTTTGACCCTAAAAACCGGTCTGCTCTGTGTGTTTTTACTTGAAATCAGTATAGGAGTATTAATATAGGCACTATAAACAATAACACTAGTTATACTATACCTCTCCGGGTTTGTTCAATCTCCGAATTAAGGTGCTTTACTTGGAAATTCGCAGTGCGGTGAAGGGTCACTACAGTTAAGTCACTGCCGAGCCCCCCACAGAGTAATATCTTACTTTTGTACCAAAAGGGATACAAAACTTTTAACGATACCCAACCGCCGATTGTTGTTGTCCTTGAGCCCTTTCTTGTCGCTCTTTGAACTGCTTGCCGGATCAGTCTTCTTCACTAATCCCGAGACCCTTCCGGATTGAGAGCAAATTAGCATTAACGTGCTTAAATACTCAAACAACCCTACAGTACTAGCACCACAAACGGGCCACACAACTGATCGCTACAATCTTAACTGATATAAATGCCTGTAACAAGAATATATCTAATAACAACAAACGGGAGGGTCTGATCACATCTCGTCTGGGGGATGATTTCTACTGATTTTATAATTTTTTAATACTGTTTTTGGTTTTTTCGGTTATTTTTTATGTTTTTTGTTGTTCTTAGGTTTTATACTACTTTTTGTTTGGTTTTTATAAATCTTTAAAAGATTTTGGTCACGTAATACTCGGGAAATGACGGGATCGCGAATCCCCCCACCCTTCCTTGTTCGTGAATTTTCAGTCTTAACTAGGTTAAAAAGCTACTCACGGTTAGGGCCTTATTAAAAGCGTTATTATGAGCATCCGCTCGAAGCAGAGTGCTCGTTAACGGCCCAGCGTCTAAGCAAAGCTCTACATGCTTTTCACCGTCTCTAGCAAAGCCAGTTCTTTTGGTGGTCTTTCTAACATCGGGTCGACAAAAACGTTACTGCTTTCGGCTTCGGTAAAAAAAACTCAAATTAACTTAATTTTATGCAAGAATAGTGAGCTCATGGCTGGGTCTCAGTATCCCCAGTCCACGAGGTCACTCCTAAAAACAGGGCTACTACTACTTTTTATATTACTATTCTTTTTGTTCAGTAGATAAAAATCATCATCTCCATCGAAGATGGATTAACCCTTTCCCTCAACTCCTAGCTTCTCATTATCTGAAAATGAATCTGATGTTAATTAAACTCAATTCAGGACATAACCAGGAAGCTAAAAGTTTGTATCAAATAGTTTGAGTTCAGTCTCAAGACCCCTCCGGACTCTTGAATGCCCGGAAATAGCGTCCTTATTTCCTTTGCGGAAGGTTGGACACACGCTGTCCCAACACCCTTCACCGTTTGCGTGAATCGCTCTGTAACGATTGTAGCGACACAATCGTTACAACTCGGAGCGGTTTCGGACAATCTGAATTCTCTGTTTTCTGATTCGCTATCTCTTTCGTAGTTATCTCTACGACAAAAACAGTTTTTGTGTTTTTCTTCTGTTTTTTCTCCAGAATGGCCGTTTCAGCTTTTCTCAGAAATGTGACGTCATCATTCGAAGTTGTAAAAAAAATAAAAACACCAGAACATTTTGACCTTCAAAGTTTGCTTAATCGTTCAAATAACTTCGCTAATCTGCTAAAACTAACATTTCTCCAGGTCAGAGGCTATGAAATCGAAATGGCATTTTTGTCCATTCTGGTCGAATGTCACATTCAGTAACGAACCTCTTGCCATGCACACCAGAGGGTAATTTGAACAAGTTTTCCTTCCAGTGCACTTCATGTTCATACGCAATATTAATGGAAGTGTCAAACTCAAGGCCCGAAAGCTTGCCCCAGGCTTGGTCAGGGCAACTGCACTTATAATGATCGGGCATTAACAGGTTCGGCCACTCTTCGGCGTCGTTTGAGAGGACGTCGCAAGGTTCACAGAAAAATGCTCTGTCTTCAAGTTTCAATACTGCTTTCTCAGATGTCTTTGCACAGGAATAATGAAACCAAGTAAAGCAACGATGACACTGAACACGTCTCGTTCAGACAAGGCCACCATACTTGCACCCAAGGTTGCCACATTGTGCGTCTTTTTTTGTTCCCGGCTTCATCTTTGCTGTTCTTTTTGTTTTATCATTTTGATCGAAAACTATTTAATAAGTTTATCACAAAAACTAGGCTTTGGAATCCATTTTCAAGATTGTATCAATTTTAATGGATGAACAGGTTGCTCCAGTTTGCTCCATTTAAAAATGCTTTCAGTTTTTTGTGTCCGTCGACTTGGTTGAATTTAAAAAAATAGCAAACTTGCTTTGTCAATTTGTATGTGAATTATTGTAAATAACATTTGTAAATTGATGTTTTATCTTCATTTAGATTAGTTTATTGTAAAAATCCTGACGATGTAACAGTCGCCTACTTAAGTCACATATCAGGTTAAAGAAAAATAGGCCCTATAACCATTGGCTCAAGAGTCACTATCTCTTGTGTTTTTCTACCTCGAACGGTCGGAGCCAGTTCGGTTCACTTGCGACATCAGACTAAAAACCCGTTACAGCTTAAAGGCCACTACCAAAAAACCCCCACTCTAGAAAATAAGAACATTCTCATACTTGGGTCTCAAAATACCCAAAAAATGCGAACGCCGTTAAAAATAGGGTCGGAACAGTCCGTACAGTTACTTTTTATTAGACAGTGGAACTTTGATCCATTTCAGATGGATCAACCTAAAACTCTCCTTACCTCAACATAACAATCATAAAACACACTCAAGAAATTTAAATTGAGTACTCACATATCGGCACACTTGAGAATTGGAGTAACTAAATTAACTAGCGAATCTAGCATGAATATAATTGAATATAACTTGAGAAGTTTGCTATTAATGAATTCCAATCCAAGGAAATGAGTTTTCACTTGAGA